TCCCACCTCCTTCATAAAGGCGAAGAGTAAATTCATTTTCATTTCTCTCCAGTGTGATATGATGCCATTCACCATTATCAATGTGGTAGAAAGGAAGGCTTACAGAATAGTCTCCATCACCCAGATTATATGAGACCACTAAGAATCCCTGAACAACCTTGTGGATAATTAACAAAGTAGTAAGAAAGAAAAGAAAAGTCATCACCTGACATTTTGCATTGATCTGTAACTGTCACATTACTTGAACTAAGACTTGTACATAATCATCAATCTTAAAGCATTTGTTTAAATTTAGGGTATGTTTACACTGCACATACAGTGTAACATAAAGATACTTCAGGTGCTACTGAACTAAACTAAATACTGGTAGCGGTGTACTCACAGTAGTATGTAATTCTCTCAGAGTAATTTTACCCTGCTTCTCTCTTGGACAAATTTTTGGGGTTCTTCAAATGGTTGAGAATCTGGTGTATCACTTCTACACTGACAGCTCAAACCAACGTGGCTGAAGAGATGACTCATTCAGTGGTATGTATAAAATGAACAGGTTGTCATTTTGACAGGCTGACATCATTAGAACTGCTACAGGCGCCTTTCCTGGCAGGGTCTGAACTATGCAGAATCAGCCACTCATGACCACAGCTGAATAGGACACCAGGCTAGACACACTACTCATCCTATTCCATATGGCAAACTATACTTCATTGTAACTGGCAATAAATTCCTTTGAAATCCAATGGGATACCATGGTTGTATCTTAAGTGAAGAATCAGATCTGTAAGTGTCCATAAAACTAATGCAAAATTTTTTTGCTTAGCGTAAGGTTTTCAGCTCTATTTCCATCTCTTAAGCTAATGTTTCTCTGGGCTAACTATTCACTGGCATTGATTTAACTCTGCTATTACTGTCTGAGATGCCTTGCTCACCTGTAAGGTGATGTGTTCATCCTTATTTCGAGACAACATGCTCGTGATGACACTGTCAGGCTGCCGTGTCCTAATCATGGCTTCAAACAGCGTCCTACGAGCAGGCACACTGACAGGAAGCTGATAGCGAACGTGACTTCCTGGCCCAAATGTATATTCTTTGGCAACTAAAAACACAGGATAAAGACCTTTAAACCATTTGGTAGGGAGAGGGAAATATTATTGTTTCCATTATTTTCATAATAATAGAGTTGAAAGTAAAAGAAAAAATTGTAATGCACAGCATGGATCTATGAGACATAACTTGTCTTTTGGGACATGTCCCTGTATCTATTTTCAGAACTTCCCCAGTCACTCTCCCACTTCATCTTCCCCTGTAAAGAGGTGATCTCCCTTCTGACTTGATCCTGCTAATGCTTCTCCTTACAATGCTCACACAGGATTGACAGCAGGAAAGCAGAAGCTCTGACCAAGACAAAAGAAGAGACTGCAAACAAAGCATTAAGTACCACAACCAATTTTCACAGCCTGCTCTTTTATAGTCGTCTTTTTGCTGCAAACGTTGGCTCATGAGGGCGGAAGAGAAGATCCTACTATATCGAAAGCACAGATCCTTAAGCCAATAGAGTCTCTTCCAGACACCAAAAGAGCAGTAATTTCTAATTCCATTTGTGTAGTTCTAATTCTGCACAGTAAGTGGTACTGGCACACTCACATTTAAGTTTTAGGTTACTAGATATTTCTGAAAGTGTAAATGGATACAAATTCAAAAAATTGTGACAAGAACAAATAATTTTGTTCACAATTCTTTTGTCATGCAGTCTCCATTATACAGTTTTTGCACAAACACCCTCAGGACTAAAGAAATTATGTGATACTGAGAAAGTAATTTCTCAAAGGGAATTAGAAAAGAAATTGTTAAAAATCGCAGGCAACTACACTGAAACATGGCTTTACACAATGTAAACATCAGAAACCACCTCAGCAATCACTACCTGCAAACATTTTAAGTTTTCTGTATTGTAAAATTTACCAGCCTATCAATAATGTAACAGAAAAACAGACTTCACCTTTATCACATCGATAGCCATAGTAACCTGGCAAACAATGACAAGCAAACGAGCCCCAGTCTCCAAGACACCTCCCATGAATACCACAGGAAGAAGACCCCATGGTCTCACAGCTCCCATCCGTAAGTGTGCAGCCAGGGAAGCTATTCAGGGACTCTGCAGGAGACTGAAGGTCATATACCTTCAAGAGAAAATTGTATGACACCGAAACATTATTTAAAAAACACTTATACTTCATTCTTAAACAGAAATAGCTATACCATACAACAGTCTGTTCTTCATCTGCGTTAAGATGCTAAGTTTGCTTTTTGACATTCAGATTTCAACTTATTTTATCAAGACCATATTTTGCCTTTAAATAAACTCAACTGACTATGAAAGCAAAAAACCTCTAATATTTCCTAACAAAGCAGACAGCTGGCATAAATATACCATTATACAATTGCCATTCAGAAGTTCCCTGAATGTGCAAAAAAGCTTGGAATACAGCTACATGAAGTAGGGGATAAACACAGGCAGAGTTTCTGGCTCACAAATACATCTGTTTGTAATTGAGAAATAACTTTTCAAGGTAGTTATTCTAATTATGACAGAAAAATCCAGAATTTTCTTGTATTTTACACTGACGCATATGGGCATTGAATATATTAATGGAACCAAAAGTTTCGGGTATAACACAGATCTCCCCAAAATTTAATAAAGAAGTTTACTCCTTTGCTAAGGCAAAATGTTACACTTCTCTTACCTGAGTATCCAAGATGAAATTGCGTAAACAACCAGAAAAGTGTTTGTGTAGCAATTGTGGGTAGGAATATGGTAACGATTCTTTTACACCACCCAGCTGTAGAACATGGTTCACATTCAAATACCTTTAAAAATTATATGAATAATAAAAATAGATGTGAATTTACCTTCAAACATAGGCATTATATAATACAGCAGATAAATAAATACCTATACCGCATTTCCAAATAATAGAGGATTTATAAAATAACGAAAGAATGCAACTATTTTGTCTACTACTTTCTCTGAAATACAGTCAGTCAGTAAGCAGAAGCGGGCCCTTTAAAATAAAGGGTAATTTATTTTTTAAATATGACAGTGAAGTCTATTGGGAGTTTAACTGTGGGACTATTATAATTCAGGTATGTTTGTGTTAAAGTCAGGAACAGCTGTGATATTCTAGACACCATATTCTCCTTCAAGTGCTTCTGTGTGTGCACATTCATCCTATACTGTAGGAACACTACTACAATAACTGTTTTGTGTATGATGAAGGCCAGAAACCTAAAAGTTGAGTCAATGTGGTCTAAAAGGTACAGTACACATGTCCAGGCTCTGCAATGTCTCCCAACCATCTCTCTGAGCCAAAGAATTCCACATATTTTAGTCCTCACAGACTTCTTTTTCCCTGAGTTACCAACTCATTTTTTTTCTTTTCCTTTGTTCTTGTATTTTTCCCTTTTTGGTGTGCTCCTTTCATGACCAGGAGGGCTCCATGCATCTGCTGACAAGGCTTAATCCCAATGCTAATCAGCACACTTGCTTGGACTATCTATTCCACAGCTCAAGTATCTTTATTAGTACAAAGGTTTCCCTAAAACCTGAATATTCCTCACTGTAACTTAAGGCCCTGTACAGAGGAGGTTGTCTAAATGCTCTTTGTAGTATTCTTTTATATACACTGAGACTTACCATATCTCTCCTCAGTTTTCCCTTCTTTCAGGTGACCTCTATTCCTTCATTCTTGATAGGTCTTATTCTCAAGGCAAGCTGATTACAGTCATTGCTCTTCTCTGGATTATACCTAGTTGGTACACATCTATCCTGCACTGTGGTGCACAAGCTGGACCCAGGACTCCAGCTGAGGCCCAACAGTGCTAACCAGAGTGGAAGAATTACTTTCCATGTCTTAGAGATCTATACATGTTGAGGCATTACTGTGTAGTGCTTGCCTTTTTCACGTTAATGTGGCATTGCTGACTCACTTTCCGACTATGATCCATATCTTTTACTGATACCTAGCAGTTGTTGTTCCCTTCTCTATTTGTGAGGCTGGTTATTTCTGCATACATGCAGTACTTGGCCCTTTGTTGTAGTGGAAAAATACAGTGTATTTCCAGGTCCTATTTTCAGTTTGCTGAGATAATTTTTAATTCTAAGCCATGCCCTCCAACATACTGGTCATTTCTCCCAGCTTGGAGTCATCAGCAAGGGCAATAAGCATCAGTGCAAAGGACTGAAGTATACTGAATCCAAACACTTGCAGAATGCAGCTGAACACATCCTTCTGCTTTGAATGTAATAATTGCTTTTTGAATAAGATTTTCCAACTTTTTCAGTTTTAACTGGGGCTGACCCAACAGTACAACCAATTTAAACCACCAGAGTCGCACCTTGACTGTATTACTTTGCTGGAAAACAAACAGAGATGGATGGTATGTCTCATTATGAGAGGCTGCAGCCCACAATCAGGCACACCAGCACCAGCCTACTTTAATCAGCAGTTTATACAAGTATACCAGGCTGTGAAGTGAACAGCTAAGGTATCGATACATGTGCACTTCCTCCTACTCTGCTATAAAGGCAGTAACCTTGGATCAACCAGAGACCCTGATGTGTTAGTCTGCCTTAATACATTGGCCAAAGGTTTTCAGTAGGAGCCCTCAGATTTATACCAATCAGATAGTAAGATTGGTTGAGGATCCAGAATTATTGCCATTAAAAAGTCAACTAGCCTAATTTCTTGAGGTTTTCAAGAACAGGCTTACAGTGATTTGATAAATAAAGTAAAAGGAGAGAAATCCTGTGGGTAAGGGATGGTACACAGTACCCACAAAAGCTCCAGTATTAGCCACATACGTGTTCTGGAGTTGTCATTTAATATTGCAACACTACTTGGAGGAAGACTTGTTCCTTAAAATCTGTTTAGTGCTTTAAGGTCCAGACTTGGCCCAGGAAGTCCTAGAGAAAAGCAAATGCTTTTATGCTCCTAGTCATTAATAACTTTGCTTCAGTTTGATAGGTAAAATGTTCAAAGGCCTTAGAATAAACTCAATGAATCTCCAGAAATGTACCTTGCTCTTCGCGGAACAGACCCAAAGACTTCACAATTTGTACGATCTTCAGTGGACAGCCATTTGCCTACTCCTTCTATTTCTGAAACAACAGCTGCACTGCAATGATCCAAAGTGAATCGAACATCCTACACCAAAACATAGGATTATTGAATTAAGAATTTCTGTAAAATTCAATAAACAAGTTATATCAAATTTTCATCTTTTTCCTTTTGCATACCATCAAGGAAAAAGGGCTGGGGTTTTCTCCTGCTCTGTTTCCCATCTTGCAGTAAACAGTAAAGCCAAAATGGAACCATTTAACAAAGAAGGCACTTAACTCTGCATTTAATTTATGCTTCTGAGTAGTTTAACCACTTTCACAAAAACTGTAACTGCATTTGCAAATAAATAATTATCTGCTTTTTGTGCATAGGTAATTGATTTCAGTGTCCAAGTGTGTACACTGAATGTGCAAATTACAACTAAGCCTTTATGCACTTTCCACATGCGTTGTACAGCTTAAAAAACAGGAAAAAGATTCCTCTGATCCCGGAATATGGAGTACAACATAGGTAAATTTGGAATTGACAATGCTGTCTTCCCAAAATTCCTATTATTCATCAAATCTACAAGCACAGTTAGAATAATACATGTAATTACCCAGCCTGGTTTTTCTACCCTCCTGTTTCTGCACAGGCAAATGCTATTGGAAATACAAATATTCTGATGTGGAAAAAAATCAAATAACTGACCTGACCATTGGTTCTGACTTCTAGTTGATGCCATTTTTTGTCTGCTACATTCAGGTGACTTGGAAACTGCAGTACCACAAAACCTGAGCCATGGCTCATCTTCAGCACAGGGATACCACCAGAGAGTTCTAATGTAACATGAAAAAGAAATTAAATTCAGCTATGAGAATCTTTCCATTTTGGATATTTTAGCAGTTAGTGAATGTACTGATTTACTGGTTATTGCTAGTCACATAAAGTGGAGTTCACTATAGAAATAACTAGAATTATATTCTATGACTTCTATTATGCAGAAATACTCATTGAACATAGTATTTATTTTTATACTTTTGATTGTGCCACTTCTTTGTCAAAACACTGGAACTAATTCCTGACAAGCAATCTGCAATTTTATAATGTTCTAAAACAATTAACACATACAGGTTTTACTCCCTCCCATCTTCTACTCAAATTTACAAGTAACTGCAAAACAAAGCAAAAAAGAGGTTAATGATTAGCAATGTCCAACAACTTTACCTTCCAAATAATTAGGAAAATATAAAATACCAACCATACTGTGCATCTTGTACATTAATTCACAAAAAATAAGCAGTAGTAACCTTTTAATATGTGTCAACATAAAGCAATGAGTTCTACTTGTGTATAAATTTTCCTGCAGTGTCACACTGGGGCTGGATTCATCCATCAAATCATTGCCTGTTTAAAAAAAAGTGCAAAAATGCCCCAAGACTGAAAGCAGTTTAAGTGGATTTCTTTTCTCACCAAATTAGGTAAGAATGACATGCAACTAAGACTGCATTAAGACTGCATTAGTCATGTAATACCTATCTTTAAAGTACCTACATTCCTTTATAGCACTACAGTTTTCCTAGGGGGATTATTTTTTTATATGGATCAATCTGTCTGTTTTGCTTTCCCCTTGATTTCTACAACTCTGCGATGGACCTAAAGCCATAAGTTCAGGCTACAAAAATAGACATCAGAGAAGAAAGACTTATTAGGAAATGTTTCAAAATATTTTCAAACAAGAAAATAAATTATCTCATGAGATGGAAAGACACTGTTCACAGGCAACCCATTCCCAAAAGCCATTTAATTTTTTCACACACTTTTGCAGAAGTACCTATTGCAATGAAGTTTTCTGTACTCCCAGGTTCTGGATTTGATAAAGGACCACTGTATAGTAAAAGTCCATCTGGAACCACAGTAATAAACTCTAGAGAGAGTGAGCTTTCAAAACAAGGCCTGATGGGACGAAACCATGCATAACCATTTCCATGGAAACTGTGCTTAGTCTGCTGGCAGTCTGGTCCATGAAACGAAGCAGGACAAAGACATCTGAAAGAGCACAAACACAAAAAATAGTCAAAATTCCCCAATCTTCAATTTTTTTTTGGTTTTACATGCAACAAATGTAACACTTAAATCACAGTAAAAAAATAGCAGTGAAACAATAAAGATTTTAGCAGAGTCTCAGGGGTGCTTCGCAACTATTAAAATACTTTAAGAGTACAAAGCTTATTTATCCACTATACTATATCCACCAAAAAAAAGTATTTTTGAGGCCATGTTTTTGAGAACAATGAATTAATTTCACTAAATAAGTAACATAGAACACCAAACATCAGTTGGTCAATTTATTAAAGAGAAAACTCAGGGAGGTTAATTCCTAGCTAGAATAAACCAGTATAATTTTACTAAAGGAATACTGGTGCGTGCCACGTGATGCTACAATACAGCAAGTTTCCTATCTAATGTTTTCTAAACTCCTTATTATCCATTGTTTAAACTACATTTCACTCCCCCTGCGTCCCTGCTGCTACCACTGATATCCACCTTTACCACTACTCTTCTGAAAAAGAAAAAGGAAAAAAAAAAAAAGAGAGCACACTTCCCATTGCTTCATACTGAATTAGGTGCTCATAAAAAATGACACATGTTAATCATACCACTGTTTTTTCCCCAGGGTTTTCTTTCTTACTCACACACTATTTCCACCGCTTTCAGGACTACAGCACCATTATTGGGCCGTTAGTAAAGACTCTGTTGTCATTAGATTTACACTCCAGTACACTCGTGGGTTTTTTTGTTTCTCCTTCAGTCAGAAGTACATTTATGATTTTTTTAGACCTGTATCTTGTAAGCTCCACTCAACACTTTAAAAATAGAAGGAAAAAAAGTAAGAGAATCTGCAGTACGAGTTTCCTCACCTGTAACCATTCGAAGTGTCAATACACATCCCACCGTTTAGACAAGGGCTTCGAGGGTAGGAGGAACAAGACTGATGAACTCGGTCCCTAGCTGAACAGGTGCAGACCGCATTGATGGTGGTTGCTACCGAGACAAACGACACGCTTCCAGTATCCATCACTGTTGGGATGTCACTCATGGCGAGGTAGTTTGTACAACCATTGCCGTTACTACAGTTTGCACTCCTACATTCATCTACATCGATCTGTGAAATGTTCAATTGTAAAGCTGACTGGATCTAAGAGAAAATACAGTTTAACACATCACCAGTCTCTTCCTAAGGAATGCTTTTATTCACTCCTTAATTTCTGAAAAATCTAAGCCATCATAGACTTAATGGAATGCTTCAGTTTCTTGAGTATTAATTGGTAACATCCCTGACTATACAGGCAAGCAAAATTATTTGACAAATACAGGAAAATTTTCAAAAAAATTTACAATAGCAGTATTTCGTAAAAACTTAAACATTTACATGACTGACTGTGAACATGTAAGTCTGTACTGGCCTACTATTTCCAAGGACCAAAGCTCCAAGAGCAGTGATACTCCACCTTTCGAGCTGTGTCATCTGCATCACCCTTCTCTGCACCCTGATAACAACAGGCATGTTTTAGCTCAAGCCAGGATAAAAATTCTTCCTCATGAGTTATACCCAGATATTATTTCTTAATTATGTGTTCTCTCACACATAAGGATACAGACACAGGAAAATGCAGGGCTGAGCTGCTTTCAATAATAATGTCCACAGACAGTGGCCTGACAAGACCACTTTGTAGCCATTAGAATTCAGCTTACTGATTCATGCCCCATAAACTTACATTTAACGTCAAACTACCTGAAACAAAATGCAGTCAACTCAGCATACTGGATACTATATTCTATTCCACATTAACCTTTGCTAGTTCATTGTTTTTATCATTAATTGGGGTTGCACCTAAAAGCCCAAATATGCAAATAAAGAGAAGTGCCTCACTGTATATATAGGTCTTGTGACATAGTAATAGCACCTCTGCAATTTGGAACTTCTAATCTGAACAGACCAAAGAAGAACTAGCAGAAAGCACAAAGAAGGGAAGCAAGCTGTTCACAATAAGCCTGAGGACAGTAAGAGGGCTGCCATTATTTCAGACCTTTCGTACTTCAGCCAGTAGCCTACGCACTGGACTAAGTTATCACTAAGTTTGTTCCCTGGCACAATACATTTCTTCCCTCTACTTGTTTGGGGATTTTGCACAGGTGCCTATAAAGCTTCAGAATTTGACTTGTATTTGGTGATTCGAATACATTAAAATGATGCATATGTAGTGCCCAAACCTGAATACAAGAGACCTCACTACTCTCACAGTGGTATACACTCACGTATACAAATGTAAAACTAACAGCATGAGATCAGGCTTAGACTCACTTTATCTATACATTTAATAGGTACTTTTGCAAATGATAAATGTATGACAAATATTTTAAAAATAAGCTTTGAAAAGACCAAAACAAATACATAAGTACTAAAGCGCTTCTATTTTTTAACTTGTGCAGTCATCTCAATTCATCACTGTAAGAACTTTGATCTTTACAATCGTCAGTATATCCTCAAATATCATAACAAGTATTGAAAAACATCTCCCCAAAGGCATAAAATATACTTTATAATGACATGATGCATCCTGTCAATGCAGTTTCGTGTCTGCTGCCTACATCTATCACCATTAGTGGACAGTCTATAATGCACATTTAGACAGCTATGTAATACTGTTATAGAAAAACATAGCGTATATAAACAACCTTGGCTCCTTCACAATATTAGGATGGATTATTTTTCTGCTAAATAAAAATAGTTGTTGTAAAGCTGTATCCCAAGGAGGTAATGCAAACATATTATTTAGCAATTGAATGAGTAATTCCAGTGCTAATTACTTACTTTCTATATTTATAGTTAAACACATGTACAAAAACTACTGGAGAAATTCTCCAGTTATGATTGTTTTTCTGTAAACTATTGGTGATTACTCACTAGAGCTATTCATTAAATATTGAAAGGTGATATATGATTAATACAAACATATTTTTTCATTAAAATATGTGAAGCAAGCCCCTTGTTACCACTTTGATAAATTCACCTGCCATATATTATGGCACAGAATATTTGAAATCTATGCAATTTTCTATATCATTGTTGCAGTAATTCAATAAATATGCAAAAGAAGCAGTCATTATGCTTCATGAATACTATCTGTCTTTGGTATTTCCTACTTGGTCACTCTGAAAAGTCTCATAATCCACACAACTATTTAAGATTCAGTAAGATGTAGGCAAGTGGTTAAGTTAAGATATTCCTTGTTTGGCTCCCAGAATCACGCAGACCCTACCACATTCACACAAATGGAAAGTGCTGTTTTCTCTTCAGGAAAAATCCTCCATAAGATGTACCACGTATTAAACTCAAATATAGGCACAAATGGCATGTCAGGAAGTGCTCCCTTGTCCAGGGCAAGTTACAAGCCAAGAAGTGGTGTCTTGCCTTTGTGCAAGGCAGCAGCTTTAGTGTCCATTCAGCAGTATCTGCAGGACTTCAGCAAAGCCAAAATCTGGAGGACTACAGAAAATAAAACTGGGGCCAAGACAGACTGTATCTGGGTAACTGAGTTAAAGGGCATGCAGGATCTGGTAAGAGAGTAGGACAGTTGGGGAACATCAGGAAGTAGAACATCGTACATTCAAAAACTATCTTCCCCTTATATAACAGTAAAAAACGTTGGGGAGGGTGTCACTTTGTATTTAAAGTTGTCCTTTGGTGAGTTAAATACAATCACAAAATTGGTTGTCTCCATCTCACTTATCTGTTGTAACTGTTCTTCTAACCTGCATATTCCTTTCAGAAGGATTTTTTCTATCGACTGTCATCTCTTTGTACAGTAGAATTTCCATCTGGGTGGCATCAAGCATCTACTGTAAGTGTCTAACCACAAGCTGATGATTTGGGTATTTCCATCACCATCTGGAACGTCCAAAAAGCTATCATTTTCAAGACATTCTCTGTACTACAGTACCACTTTGGCTTCTAGGGATTCTCCTGATTTCATATTCAAAAGTCTGATAGATTACACAATGAAACAATGACTGGAGAAAACAGAGTTAACTGTACCATGATGGGAATGGAGAACCATCTTTCTGCAATGAAAAAGAGGTTATATTTATTGAACCAGAAGTTAGTACAACCATGTAATAATTGTGTGTATGGGACTAAGGAGAAGGGAGAAAGCTTGAATCAAGCACTTGCTTGACAAGCAAAAAAACCTTATCTGTAGATCTAGCATATTCCTTCACCGAGGTTTGGGATATATACCTTGCAAACTCAGTATTTGGATGAATTACATAGATGCATAATGCTAGAGAATATACCTCATTTTTAAATGCTGCCATCTCAGCATGCAGTTTCTCCGGTCTGTAATATGCCAAGCCACCATGGACTGCAAATCTTACATCTGTCTGTTTTCCATCAATGTTCATCACACTGAAGACAATGATATCACTCAGCTTAGCAGGTAACAATTTTGCTAGTAATTCCTTGAACTTGTCATGTCTCGTTTTGCCATGTTCATCTCTCCTTATGAACTCCTCTGCTGTGACATCTGAGTTTGGGATTCAAACATAGATAAACATGAAATACTGGGAGACCACAGGTTAATTTCTCAATTTATTTCTTATTTAACAATATGGAAACATACCGGAAATCACCCTACAGTGATAAGTAAATTGAGTATTGATATAGTAATACCTACATCACATAATCATTCAGTTATAGAAGCAGCTGATCTAAACTCTCACCGGCAAATAAAACTAACCTGATAGACGCACAGTGGCTGAGTTTTGTATGGCTTCATTTTCCAGCTCTTTGATGTGGATTTGTACTGTAGATATAACATCAGGACAAACTCCATCAGAAACTCTAACTTTTAAGTTGTATATTCCTTGAGGAGTGTTATCCACCATCATCAAAGAACCAGTCCTCTGATTTAATCTGAAAGACCTAGACATAAACCTTCAATTAGAAAACCTTAATAAATCATAATTGAGAACTTAATTTATTCATTAACATAATTCAGAAGGCCTTAAATGTTACTATGAAGGTTATGGGATCAAAACTTATGGGAATTAGCAATCAACCTCAGAAAAGCACCAGAAACACCTTAATTCAGAAATGACAATCTGCAGAGCTTACAAAAAGATGTTTCTGCCACTCCCAAATCCCCATACTTTCCCAATCCTGAATAAAAGTGTGTAGTTGAACTACGGGGTTCAACATAGTCATCATGGGCAGGTCTATGAGATAAGTAATAGAAAGTGACAAAACCACAGAAAGTCGTTCCAGATGCTCATTTATCCATCTGGAACAGGATAAAGTCTATATGAAATCTCTGATATCATCTTCATTTGTCACCTCAAAGGGACAGTAATCAGTAATTATGGAAATATTCCATGACCACCATTATGGAACACTAACCTCTTAATATTGAAACAGGCCCAGGGGCTGCTGACAGACAGAAAGTCAGTCTTTCATTTTGGGCTACATAAAGCTTTTAAACTCTTATTCACAGTGGAGACAAAAATTCGCATTCGTTTTCACGTCCATTTTCTGTATTTCAAACAGCACACAATTACGCTATATGCCATCTCACTTTATGATATGAACAAATAACGTATAAGTAGGAATTAAGGATCCAATTCAATATTTCAATTAACAGAAAAAGCTCCCTAATCTAAGAGTCATGGTTTTCGCACGCAATTGTAAATTTAGCAATCAATGGAGATCACCAAATTCCCTTCCACTTTTGATGACATGATTCCATTCTGCCCTTTTAAATTTGGGATTTGTATTCCACCACCTCTAACATTTGAGGGCAAGTATTAAAAACTCTGCCTATTTTGAAATTAGATCTTACAGAGTGCGCATTTTTAAATAAATTAACAATGACATCTGACTAAAAATCAACATCATGGTGTGATCCTGCATTCTCTTGGAAAAATATTTCATGCATTAATTTCTTAATACATAGTTACCCAAATAAAAAAAGAAAAAGAGCATTCAGAAAGTACATTCCTTAATACACACAATAACCCTGACTTTATGCACATCCTGAACACAGAGAAATACATGGTGAGTAAAATAATTACAGAAGCATAAGTATTACTCATTTTGACACAAATACAATCCTCACTTGAGCAGTTTTCCTTCAGAGAGAAATGTTTTATTGTCCCAGTCGTCTTGATCTGGTGCAAACACTTCCCCAAGCACTGTTGTTGACCATTTTCCTGTTGAGATAAATTATAATAAATCTGCATTTAATTTTTGCTTTTCAGCGCACTTTATATTCTGCCGCATTCATTACTGCATTTATTATTTTCAGATTCCTGCTCAATTTGGCGATGGTTATGATCCAAGATTCTTAAAATAATGCATAGCCTGTCATATGGTTTCTGCCAGTTCTGGAAAGGTAAGTATACTATGGATGTCACATGAAAGAAGAAAAGCTGCAAACACCAGAAAACAACAACAGAATGATACATAAATACTACTACTAACTCTATATAAAATTCTCAGACAAAAAAAAAAAAAAAATATCACCACATCAGGAGTTACTCCCCAAATGTTTCATTGCTACTCTACTATTTCAAACTGCACACCAGTGGAATCCAGCAAAAGAGGGAGAGCATCTTGTGGGGTGCAGCTGGGAGAGAAGGACATGACTGAGAAAAGGAAATGGGAAAGAAGCCACCAAGCTGTGCCAGTTCTTGGCCCTTTTTTCAGGCCCCTGTGGGCTGTCACAGAAATGGAACACCCAAGCAGCTGTTCTGTAACAGCAAAAGGAGCAACTCCAGGGAAGGAGACCTTTGAATTCCACAGCCAAGATCCTGCAATGTGGGAAATTTTTAAGGTTCAAATCTGGAGCCAATCCACCCTAGAAACTTCATTCTCTCATTTCTATGGTAGAATCTGGTCACATCTTTTTCTAATTTAGGCATACTGAATTCAGCAAAAATAACCCATTGCAAACATACCTTCTGTAGATTAATCTTCTCTAATGTTTATCAGAAATTCTACCATTGCAATGGTAATTGAGATATAGCCAAATCTACCTGGAATGGAATATTTGGGGAAAGGCGTAATAAACCATGCTTAATAAGGGCCACAAGGACTAGTTTAAGGTCAAGTTTTACAGGTAATTTCAGGAAAAAACACAGTAATAGAAATTCAAGACAAATTTTAGAAAATATTATTAAACTGTTCATTCTCTGCTAAACCACTCTGGTGAAAAAGCATAAAGCATTCATTTAACGGAGGCATTTGCTCTGCTCTGTCCCACTACAATGTTAAACCTCATAGTACTGTGGCTGCTGTCACAGAGAAGCTCTTCTGCTAGTATTTCTTGAACTAGGTAGTACTGTGCACCGCTCAAGAACACATCCAGAACAGCATCTTTTTTTTCAGTTCAAAGACTACATGTTCTAGGAAGCAGTCACTTATTGCACCCCAAAGATTATTCTTTTCCTAAAAAAAGCACTGACCCAGCTTTCTCTCAGATACTTTCTTGCCAGCAGAAAACCTCCCTCCTCAAGGTTTCTATCCTGCTTAGCCACACAGTGGCTCTCACAGTGGAGGTGGGACTGGTCTATAATTTCTGGGTAGGGCTCATCTATGAATCTCTGTTTCTCTACGTTGCTTCAGTTCTGCCATTTTCATCTCCAGATCTCTCAGTGTCAGATAACTTTCCGAATCATGCATGCACACACAAAAACTTCTCCTCTGTGTAGGTAAAAACTAGTCAATGGAAAATAGATTTTATTGGTTTATAAAAATACTGCATTTTCTGCAAGTGCAATATTTACTTGAGCTAACAGTTTTTTGGTAGATGATCTTTTACACACTAGGGTCTGAGCTTTGCAAATATACTTTACTCGTTCCACTTTATTTAGTAGTTTACAGAATTGGAGTTTCAGTTTCAAAATATATAAACCATTCAAAAAAAATAAAGAACAGCAAGACAGAAATTATGTGTAAAACTGTGCTATATTCATGAATCTGATATAATATCCAGATAGCACTTACCTTTGTAACTGTACACATAGACTTCCTTATGGCCAGATTCATGGCAGTTGTCATTTTCATCACCAATTGTTATAGTTAGGGTGTTTGTAGAGCTCATAGCTGGAATCCCACTATCTGTTATAACTACTGGCAGATGAAACACCTTCTGTTTTTCTCTGTCAAAGGACCTCAAAGCAGTTACAGTTGCTGTGTTATTTCTGTTGTCAGTAAGAGAAAAATCCAAAGAATTCTGATAGTCTGGTGGCAATGAAAATGTAAAGGGTGGCCCATTTTCTTCACTGTCTGGATCAAATGCATGAAGCAGTTTTGATGTATGGTTCATATACACTATTTCAGGCCTCAATATGTTTTCCCAAACTACAGGCATGTATGGTGCCTCAAAGCTTGGTCCATTGTCATTAACATCAAGCACGTTAATCAAAACTGTAACGCTTCCAGTGCGGGCAGGTGTCCCTTGATCTGAAGCTTGTACAACTAAACTGTATTTTTGCATGACTTCACAATCTAGTGTATTTGCCACAATCACGTGACCATATTGGTCAACTGCAAACTGTCTCATAGGATCCGAATCTGACTTTATAGAATATATAATGTTCCCATTCAAACCAGAATCCTTGTCTGTAGCTCTCACTGTGGTTACTGTAGTACCTACAGGCGTGTTTTCAAAGAAAGGGCTTGTCTGAATAAACTGAGAAAGAAAAACTGGGCTGTGGTCATTAGAGTCTTCAACTTCAATCAGGCACACTGCAATACTAGAAAAATCAAGATCTTCCACTGTAATGGTAAGATTAAAGTGCCTTTCACGTGCATTCTCAAAATCCAATTTTTTTTTCAGTCGAATAGTGGCACATTGCCATTCTTTGTCACTCTCAATATAAAACTTCTGATCTGGGTCTCCCCCAGTGACACTGAATATTAAGTCAGCATTTTCCCCAACATCTGCATCTGTAGCACACACTTGCAGAACTTCTGAGTCGATTGCACTGTTTTCAGGAATTGTTGCCTGCCACATCTTTTTTGTGAATTTAGGTACATGATCGTTGACGTCTGCAATCCAGATAGTGGCAGTGCCAGTTCCTGTTAGCCCTCCCCCATCTCTTGCTTCAACAGTAAGAAAATAATTTTCAGTCCTTTCTCTGTCTAGCATTCCTCCCACTACATGGATTGTACCAGTATTGGGATTGATATTAAACATGTCAGTACCAAACTCATTTTTTACATTCTCTGTTATCCTGTAAGTAAGGACAGCATTAAGACCTACATTTGGATCATCACGATCAACTGCACCCATTTCCATGACTAACGTGTCTGCAGGAGAATTTTCAAAGACACTCCCATTGCAATCATCAGGCATGCATGTGAACATGGGTGCATTGTCATTTATATCCCACACGTTAATAATTACATCAGCAAATCCCGTAAGTCCTTCTCCACCTTCATCAGTAGCCAATACAACAAATCTCCACAGTGCTCTCTCTTCCCGATCCAGCATCTTGTGTGAGTAAATGCTGCCCGTTTTCTCATCTATTGTGAAAATATCAGCTGCACCATGCCCATGCAATGAGTATCTCAAATCTCCTTCATCCACATTACTATCAGGATCATTTGCCATCACCTACAAAAGTTTTGAAAACAAAGACATAGAAATTATAAAATATGCAATGATTGCATTATATTCTATATGCTGCTACAGGCTAAAGGAGTCCAAGCAAAAGTGTATGACATGCTATTAATATATGCATGCCAGATGAATAGCAAATGAGAGATGGCTGAGGGACAATTCAGAGTAGGTAAATATCCTTTGCACTACAATAACAATGTAGATATTCTAATACTAAAATAATTTTTTTTTTCATATTTGCAGAGGTAATTTAACTATGCTATTCTGATAGCTACTTTAAAATGTTAATGATTTGCTTTTTAGGATCACAAATTAACCATCCTGCTTATCCTACTTATTATCCTTGTAATTATTTTTCCATAAAAGTCCACTTCTCTTCTTCCAGTGACAAAAAAACTCAGTAAAACTAAATTTCATTACTATATCTGCGCTGGATTATCATTAACGTAATTGTACCAGTGTAATCTGTGCTCTTTCATTGAAATATTACAGTCTCTGAAACTGCATACACTACCTGAAGTACAAAGACTGGTAACCCATCCAATTCCTCAATTATACTTCCATAGTATTCATTGATAGAGAAAACTGGAGTCTCATCATTTTTATTCATGACATTGATGATGATAACTGCATAATCTTCCCATTTCCCGTCAGAGGCCAACAAGTGTATCTCATACATTTCTGTTTCTTCATAATCCAGTGGTTGGGCAATAAAAATGGCTCCTGTTTCTGGTTCTACACCAAGTACTCCTCCTGTGTTTCCAGTTGTGATCTGATACCGTAATTTAGCATTTGTTCCTGTCAATTACCAACAGCGTCAGAAAACACACATTTCTTGAAGTAGATTAAAACATGGGATGTTAAGATGAAGTACAAATCATACGCTAACTGATTTTTGGTATTATAGTTTTGTGGTCTTTTAAAACATGCAGCTATGTCAGATTACTTATCAGCATTTTCAATTCTGGTATGTCCAACTGTAATTTGTGTCTAATTATAAAATGTGCCTTTGCAATGAAGTATTAATTCTGCTTTTACTTATGATCCCTCGAATTCACCGAAGGATCAATATGACCGGCCAAGGCTATGGGACCAAAAAGACAAATTCATATTTGCTAACACCCAGCATGTAAGAATGAGTTATAAAATACTTCATACCATAGAACATTCTGCACTCATATTCATTTATGCATAGACTTTACCAACAAAAAGGATAATTATGTATCAAGCCAGAGGAGACAGTCCTAACAGAACTTCTCAAAATTTCAGATGCAGTACCAATTTGCTGATGGTTCTAGATCAAGTAAAGACTTTTAGCCTTTCTGCAAGCTCCACCTTCACATTACCATTCTTCTCTTCTTCCCTTCTTCCATAGCTACATCTTTAATCATTGACTTTATTAAAAGGACAGAAATGAAGTGCCGTATATAGATCACATCAGGTCTCCTGATCCAACACTATAAAGCAGATTTACAGGCAGCCTAAGTAACAAACTAAAAGTTCCTTGAGTAGGTAAATCCTTCTTCGGTACAACTTAGCCACATTTGCCTCAACCTCCTTGAGTGGGTGAGGAATCAAATGCAGCCAAGATGTACTTGCACTTCACAGACATACTGACAGAACAGTCCTTTGGGACCTGGGCAACAAAAAAAACTATGGTTTCACCATACAGCGAAGTTGAATTAGTAGTGCACCATGGCCAAAAGATTGAAGTCCCTCTCACATTTATGAGCACCAGTTATGTACTTATTTTTTACATGACTTACGGCTGAATTCCTGACTGATTTGTAGATAAAGCAATTCAGCTAAGACTCATCGTATGCATTTAGGAAGTCTAGTTTCAAATATGAGAATGTGTACCAAAAAAATAAAGAATACAACTATACTGTCCATAGAGAAAGCAAATGAATCTCACTGAAATCAAGTCTGATCCATTCTAGTTAACCAGGACATTATTATTGGCACCCATTTGTAAAAAAATGATATGATCTATAATAAATTTGTATTTCCTGGCACAGAAATTATTCTCCATCATCCCACATTAATGCATTGCCTCCTGAAATAAAAGTTATTTGACTTATGCCTCACAGCTCCATTATGAGCTAATGTTCACGCCCGATCAGTTCACACTTAAAAAAGTTTTAAAACCTAGAGACAAAAAGACATTTTCCTTTCTAACACCACTAAATATGTCTTGGTGTGCTGAAATTAACTCATTAATATTTTAGACACAGCTATGGAGAATTCCAATACTTTACCTTCATCTTCATCATTAGCACTGACTGTAATGATAGTCGAGCCCACATCCTGGTCTTCATCCACATTTACTTCATAGACATTTTGAGCGAAGACAGGCTTGTTATCATTCACATCGCTGATAAAAATGCGCACGTAGGCCGTGTCTAGAGAGACAAGAAACAAGAGATTAAAATACTCAGCTGTGCCACTTCTGTCAGCTACAATTCCTTAAGCTGTCTAGCTGCACATTAAATGAAGATGAATATGCAGACAATACAGAAACAAACCCTTAGGGTTGTGGACAATATATATACCAACATTACTCAGAAGCACTTGGATATCAAATGAATGTCACATCCAATTTGTTTAAGCAGATAATATGTGAATAATTGATGCCTAATACAGCAATTGTACAGTTTTTAGTCATAACTTTTTGTCCTGAAGCCACAAAAGCCAAATTTTAAGTCTTTATTTAAGCACAGCCATCAATTGAGAATGGGATTTTCTATCTTCAACTTTCCTGCTTCATACTTCATACATAATTACTTTTGCTTGAATACAGTATCACATGCAGTGCTTTGAGAAACACCTCCACTACCAAAAATCTGCATCCTACAGATAATGGGTGCATCTTTGCTAGCTAGGAAATAGTCTCTAAACTCTAACTACAAAGCCCTAGCTTTCTTTTAATTTCAGAACAAAAAACTCGCCTGATCATCATATAAAATCTCTTACAGCTCTGACATAACTGTTGCACAGACAAACAGTAAAAAACCCACCCAAAACCAAAACAACGGACACTCTTTCACAAGTACACTTGGGAAAAAAAGGAAATTAACATTTAATCTTGCATTTCAGAGCTTCTGTTTTCAGAGACCAAGCCAGGTAAAATCATGCTTGTCACAGAAATCTGTCTCTTACCAGAGTTTGGCTTCCCACGTTTTCCAGGTCGAGCTGATTCACAGCCATCTACTGACTTGACTTCTAGCAGATAAGACCCCTTCTTCTCTCTATCAAACACTGAGGCAGTGTATATTGAGCCTGTCTGTGAGTCCAAGCGAAAATATGTGTAGTCTCTGCCACTGTCATGTAACAGGGAGTAAGTTATCTAAAGGATTAAAAGGAAGTTGTTAATCTATACTTTCCTTTTGTTGGATAGTTCACAACTAAGTAAGTACTTAAAGAGAGAAAGAAGTCTTGTGTTTGAGAACTTCATCGGGGCCAAGAAAGCTGGGTAAAACTGCCAGCTTGGGCAATCTAGTTTGAAGTCAATTAACCTCCTTCCATGTTGACTGCCGATCTGTAAATGGAAATACATTTGTCTTGTCTAATCAGTTCCCAAATTCTCTAGTTCATGTTTGCACAATGCTTGTGCAACAGCACTCAAACGCAGCCAAAGATCCCGGGTACTAATAGCCACAGGTGAGCTGAATTTGAACTTGCTCAGTATCATGGACCATGTTCTAGTCTCTATTACATAAATGTTTTCATGCACTTGACTTTAGCTTGCACTCTTGTCCTAAGGATATACCTACTTTCAATTTTTAAAATCAGTAACGAACACATCCACTTTTGCTTTTAACTTGACATATTTTGTAAGGATTCAAATGATTTACCACTCACAGAAGCTTTCAACACATTTTTTCTTCCATTAATTTATCCAATCACAATTTAGGTCTATGTAGACCTTTCCAAACCGAAGCATTCTATAGCAAGTTTTTCACCTGAACTACAGGTTGTATAAATATTTCTTCTGTGTTTTTTGTCTCACACTTACTAGTTTTAGTTGCATTTTTCACATGGAAAGACAGAGAAACATGTAATTAACTACTTTATTTCATCTCATGTTTCCCTATTAGTCATCCCTTTTCTAGGTTGAAGACTTCTAGTCTATTTAGCCATTGTTCATACAGAAGTTATTCCATATCTTTCATCAGGGAAGATGTAGGTCGCTTCTTGCTTACCTCACCATTCTGACCAAGGTCAAGGTCGGTGGCAGACACCTGAACGACAAATGTCCCAACACCAGCTCCCTCTGTTACCAAGGCTTCATAAATAGATGAAGTGAAGAATGGGACGTTGTCATTGACATCTAAAACATCAAAAAGAGTGCAAAAAACTACAAAACTTTAAAGAAAAAGAAAAAAAAAGTACTATGATTATACTATAACATCACTGAACAACTGACACACCTGTTACATTAATATAGACCGTAGCGAATGCTGCCAGAGGAACTGCAGCAACGTTCTGTGCTCGAACCCTCAGTAGAAAGCTCGTTGTTGTTTCATAATCTAGTGGCTCAGCTACCAGGATTGAAGCAGAACCATCATGTCTGTTTGGAGTCAGGTAGAAACGAACGGGCATGTTGGTCTCCGGAACAAGTCCCTCTTCTAGGTTATAAGTCACACGGGGATCACCAAGGGGAGAAGTTGCTTTGATTGTCTGCACAGTTCAAAAAGTTTGCGTAACCAACACTTCTGTAAGTACAGCAACATTTCTAAAAGCTTTTGTGTATTGACTCTCCCACATCTTCAGCTCTCAACTGAAAACTCTAGGACAAGTATTTCCTGATACCAAAACTTAACCCTGCCTGATACATCTCCAGGCCGCAAATAGCTGCAGCCAAAGGTCAGCAGTCATTACATGTTTGGTTACCCATGCTTTTATCCTAAAACTATGTATTTTGGAGTTACTTCATAAAGTTGTTCTGATTACTCATTTCGATCAATCAAACTGAACACCTCTAAGTACTTTAAACCCAATAATCACTTCAGTTAACACAGAAGCATTCAAAAAATTGGAACACCTACAGTGTTGTCCAAATGGGAAGGAAATTAAATAGCGGTTGCACACATATAAATTAGAGCAAAAATGCTGGTTACCATTAGCATTTCTGAAAGAAAACTGATATCAGATCATTGGTCCCTACAATACACAAAATTGTTATAAAAGCTCACTATATTTAAACAAATAAGCAACATTCAGTTACTCTATAGCCTTAGAGCTATAAACAGACAAACAAGTCTGTCCCAACCTTACCAAAATTGATGCATCTCGTGTAGTATTCTCTGGAATAACAACTTCATAGCTCTCTCTTTCCCACTGTGGAGGCTGGTTTTTTGCACTGGTAATAGTTACCACAAGTTCAACTTTACTGCTTCTATTACCTCCATCTGTAGCAATAATCTCTCGAATTATAGATGACCTCTGAACAGTTAAAAAGGTTTCATTACAGAGGGTTTTGATCAGGGCTCTGACGAGCTTTTTTTTTTCTTCCTCAAAATAAATGAATACATAAAATTAAAGGCACACTTAAAAAAACTTGCACAGAAGAAAAACATCCACAACTGCAGAATACTGAGCTCAGAATATGAAGCAGGTGCAAGGTTGCTGAAAATTCTACTATTGCTTTACTTAAGATTGTTGGAAAATGTTGCTATTTGTCTCAATAAACCTTAGCAAATTTCACACAAAGTTAAAACAAAACCAAAAAAAAACCCCTTTGTGGAGCCCCTGAGTTCTTAAGCTTACCTATCAACAGTTTTTGTTATTAGGTCTGTAGGGTTCTTAGATTCAATAAAGAAAATATATTAAAAGGATACACCTCCACCAAAGTTTTGTGTTTCAGTTACTTAGAAGTTAAATTTCAGTATTAAAAGTATCTACTAGGTATTTAAAGATTGACATCTACAACAATATTTTCATTTCAACACAAATTACTTTACAACTCTGAAAATATCAAACTGTTTATGTAGGTATCCAGAAATGGCTGAAACTGGTAAATTTTAGATAAATGCAACTACATGCAACAATTTTGTTCATTATGCCTTCACCTTCCCGAGGGACAGCTATGCTTAGTCCACCATGACTAATATGTATCAAGGTGGGAATCTGTATCAGAAGCAAAATTTCACACCCTTTCACATTCAGGTTTGTATTTTAACTCATTGCCTGTTAACATAGTGAAGTCCTACACCTGCTTACAGTCTCACCTCTCCAGTCCTTGGTATTAGTATGCCAAAGCTAATGAAATGGGAAGAACAAATTCTCAGAGGCAGTACTGTAAGCTTTCCAGCTGAAAGCAGGGCTTGCTTATATGCAATTCACAGTCAATGAACTCATCAGCTAAAAGCCTTAGACTCATGTTTAATTTAAACATGATGTATTGATCCTTTAATGTGAAGCGATAACATGAAGGTAAGGAAAAACGCATGACCTCAGTCCCTCCTATGATATATTGAGATAGCCAGCTTAAAAAGGAAAGCAAGCACCATACCTGAAATACAGGTTGGTTCACAAACACCCAGCCTGTAGTAGGATTAATTTGTAAATAATTTGGTTCTTCATTTGCTATTGAATACATAATGGCAGCATTTGAGCTGTAGTCATCATCACGGGCTGCAACACGAAGAAAGCTGGTCCCAACTCTTGTGTCCTCTCTTAGGAAATCTAATGTAAGGAAAGGATATTTCAAACTGATCATTAATTCACTAAAGTACCATGAACGTCTTACTAGGAAATGAAGAAATACTAAAGTAATAATGTATGGAAGCTATAACTTTATCTTCCTTGGAACAATGGCCATAAAAATCAAAATGAGTATTTTAAAGAGCTGCTATCACTCCAGAGTTATGGATCACATTTGAACTTTATATTATCACATTCATAACTTGGAATTCTTATTTCTCGTAAGATAGTACATTTTTTTTTTGTCTTGTATTTTTACTAAGGGACGAATTGCTCTGTATGAAATATACATAAATGGAATTTTAATTTATTGAAAAAAAACCAGAAGAAAAGGACTACATTGTCAGAAACTACTTTCTAGGATTCGCATAGTGTAACTAACCGAGAATTAACAGTCTTTTTTTTTTTATTAATTTATACATGCGTCTGGGTGTTTATTCATAAACAGGGTTTTTGGATGAACCAAGAAGGAAAGGTAACACAACAAACAATGAAGAATGATTAAATTCAAATGGGAAAAGGAAAAGTATGTAATCACAAGTTATGACAAAAATCTATTAATCAGAAAACAAAGGATACAGTTGGTGCTCAGCGCTGCACACTCACACGCTTATTATAACTTTCACATCTCTGTGTAGTACCACAGACACTTGGTATGCTCAGGTAAGGAAAGATACTGACTGGCTATTGTTTCAAGGAATTTTCCCATAATGACACTCAGGAAGGCCTACGAGTCAAGACTGTACTTGTTACATTGCACATTACGCAGAATAACAATTCTGCAATTAATTAAGGTAAGTGCATCTCTGGCTGCAATCACCTAGCTGGTCACAAGATCTGCCAGGAAAGACAAAACCCAAAAATCTTGGACATCAGGTAAGCTCACACTCAGGGCACCGAAACTGTATCCAATGACACTCAATTACATTCATAGTGGGTGTTTTCAAATCTGGGATCATTGTCATTTTGGTCCAGGATGATAATATTTATCTGACATATTCCAATGAGTGGTTCCGCTGCCTGATCTGTTGCTGTCACAGTGATAGGATATTCCCTCTGTTTTTCTCGATCAAATACCTGAACAGTTGTCAGAACTCCTGAAAACAAATTAAATACCAGAGAGTCAATAATGCGCACTTAAAATATGGTGCTTTTTTAAATCTAGTTACAAAAACACAGAAGTTATTTCACACAGCAGAACTTCCACATTTCAGGGAAAACATCAGTTCTAGTTCATGGACATGTATGAAACTAAAGGGAGAATATTTGTTCATGCAGTTAATACTGTTTATATTTTGCTTGCTATCAAAAAACTCAATGAAAAAGCACACATGATTTTATCTAAGCTTTTTTTCCATCAGTGTAACGAAGTGGTTTCTATATGCCAGCATCAGTTCTGATATTCGCTTTACCTGTGTCAGGATGAATGCTAAATGCTGGTAGGACACCACCTCTGTGCATCAAGCCATATTTCACTATACCATTGGCTCCTTCATCAGCATCAGTGGCTTCAACCTGCAGTACAACTGTCCCTGAAGGCTGGTTTTCCAATACAGAAGCATGTTCCCGATAATACTGACACTAAGAGAAGGGAGGAAAAAAAAGAAAAAAAAAAAAACAAACAAGGACTTACCATGCCATTTGATTTAAAGACATACTAGAGGAAAAAAAAAAAAAAGAAGATTTAGCTACACTTCCATTCACATGAACTGATGTTAATGTTTTATCTGTACCATGATTAATTTACAGACTTCACTTGCTCTTTTGTGGTTATACAAACAACCCACAACATGAGGCCACTGAGCATGTCCAACTAGTGAAAATAATTTGGAGAAAAAGTTACAGTTGCATGTACTTCCAGATGCTAATATTTTTCTATATTAGCAAAAAGTCTTATGAAAAAGAGGGCATACACTTGCCCAAACCACAGAATTGCTTTGGTCAAAAAGGGATTTCTACACAAAGTAACTTTGTCAAGGACAGATTACTGAGAATTTCCAAGACTGACATTAATAGTCACTGACTTTTCAAACTATGCAACATTGCCCATCAACATTTTAGCCATCAGCATCAAACTTGAAATTTTTAGACAACAGATCAGAATTAACATTCTGAAAACATATTCAAGCATTTTGTTTTTTTTCAGTACTTTATAAATTAAGCTAAACCACTTTCATTCTTCTCTCTTTCATCAGTTCCAGACATACAATCATCAGAAGAAGCCTATGTAATTTAGAGAGGTATTTTGGAATATTTTGGAACAAGTCCACTGCATAGATAGCTATACCTATCAATTCCTCATTACATATGTCACACTGAACCTCCAAAAGTTATATACTCAACCTTATCTTCTAAAACGCCAGAGATGAGATATGGTTCAGGGAAGAGACAGTGCTCACAGGAGCTGTTCTGCCACAAGAGGAGAACAAACCCTGTAAGACTTAGGAAAGTGATGGAAAAGATGGAGAAGACAGCAGCATCAGACTCAGAGAGAGACGAAAGCGGACCACTTACTGAATAGCTCATCTGCTGCATCAATTGCAGTGACAACAGAGTCTTAAACATTTACCACACAGTCTAATACAAATGACCAAGCCTCATATATTTACCTTCTGAAAGACAGGTTTGTTATTGTTGACATCATCAATTTTCACAACAACCTGGGCAGTACTTGTAAGAGAATGGGGCCCTCCAGAAGCGTTATCATCAGTTGCTGTGACATTAAGCACATATTCTGTCCCCTGCAGCTTAGGAAACCGACTTGAACGAAGTCTAACTAGCCCTGTAAAAACAACAAAGGTTTTTCATTTTTTCACTACATTAACCAATTACTGTTATTCTTCTCACTAGTAAGCACAACAACAAACCATTCTGGTTTACCCATTCACCAATAAACCACAAGGCTGCTAGAGTTTAATTTAACTATGGTATTTTTACTGCAGCCTGATATTAAAACAAAATTAAGACAGCACAACAGGTTTGTTTGTCTGCAGGTATGTCTACAGAGCTAAATGAGACAACAGCTAAAACTCAGCTGACCTGCACATATTAGCTTTAGTCTATCTGCTGCAGAAAAAAACCAAACCAAAACAAAAAATCCAGAAAAACATTGATGCATGTATATGCATCACATCCAGCAAGCCTGGATATGTTCCTGTATCATTATTGCAATGAAGCATGTGTCACCCTGTCTACAGCTGTAGCTACCTATGCTAGCTCAACTGAAACTAGTACAAGTTTACCTTCCTGCAGCACAATCATAGCAGCATTTAGCTATATAGTCATATCCTCAGAAACCTGTATTTTGCTACTCTCCCAGTGATACACCCTGCTGGATGGGACATAAAGGCACTGTCAGAGAAAGATGTATAAAAGATGTGCTACAAAAGCAAAAGTCTACAGCTATCTGAGACCATGCAGTAAGAAGCTGTCATTCTTTTGCTCCATCATCCATCAATCACCTCTATTATTCATCAGGCATAATAGCAATTGTCATTACAACAGAGTATTGTCACAGCAACAGTGTCACTCAATTTGCTTGCAAATGTATTGCTTTAGCTGCAGCACTTATTTTTGACACATTTCCATTTTACCTTTGCATTTCTGTGACAAGGGGGTACAGACTATTCCCCTGACATGACTTCTGAAAAGAAGCCGCTGCAAGCCACTGTATAAACCTTTACTGGTTTATTAAGCAACGAAAGCCCAAAAGTGTTTTGGAAAAAAAAATGCTAATGTTTCCAAAATTACGTTTCAGACACTATAAAAATTAATTGGTAAAAATGTATAAAAGTACATATACATGATTATCTATATTAAAACTATGGAGCTGATCCTAAGAGATGCTATCAATCAAATGTTAAGATTCTTTGAGCACTTACAATAAAGATTTTCAGAAGCATCAGATATACTACCCTTGTGGCAATTAGCCACTTTTAAAACCATCGTTCCTCTTTAGGTGCCAAAGTATCTTTAGAAATTTAACTCTTGGAACCTACAACTCTATTTTTAAGCCAGAAAGGATAAAAGGAGCTCTCAATAAATTCAGGATCACGCTTCAACACCTGCAAGTTATCTGCAGACCATGTTTTTGGGAACATTTCAGAATCTAACATTAATATTGCAAAAATATGATTTGCATTGAAATTAAAATTTCATGCTAAGTGAACTCTATGAAATAAAGAGAAGGAATAACTTAGGGCAGCTTTCTCCTTCCTATATATTCAATGCTTGTGCTTTGAAAAATTTAAGTTCAGATTTTGATTGCAGTTCAAAACAGGTTAAATATAAAGTAGTTTAACTGAAGTTAATTAAGTTACTTCAATCTGTCAATGGGATTTCAATTTGGTTGCCTGTTTCTGTCTCAAAACATCCTCTTTTGTTTTTTCAAGCAATGAACAGCAAATAGATCCTATTAATTTAAAGGGATATGCCAGCCTACTTAGATGATGTGTGGGTTTTCTTCTAATTTTTTTTTTTTTAATGAGGACACCAATGTTGTGGGATTTTTTCCTTTGGGGTTTTAAAAATATGCAACTGCTGAAAAGAGTTTAAAAAGATGTAAAAATTGGTATTTCAGAACAAATGACTTAAACTGCAAAGTATTCTCCACACAGTTTTTCTTCTCATGCATGTAGTATTCTTGCCTAAATAACATTGCTTACGTGAATGATTTTGTTCTTAAATGAAAAATACACTTACTGATTTCGTATTTTATGTACTTTTGCCTCCATTGAAATAAAACAGTGGTAGTCTCATTCTGCCTACAAACGCATCATTTTGTATCAGTACAACACAAGGAAACTTGGTTAAGAAGTGTTTGCTCACTGCGTAATCAGGACATGCGTAATCAGGACGTAGACATAAGCACGGGGGAAAAAAAGTTGCACAAAGAAAACTTCTCTAGTCAGAACTGTCATCCTATTGTTTTTCTCCTCACATGGCTGTTTGATTACTGATAGTATCTTTGGCTAATCGCAGCAGGTAGATGTCAAGCTTTGAGTGCACCAACAGGCCTTGCAAACTCTTCCTCCTGCTCCCTGAGTTAGGCTGCCCATGTTCAAGGCCAGCTCTGACACCATGCAGCCGGCTAGCCTTGGATCAGACAGTTGTCAGAAGCCTTGTCTGTGGCCTCTGCCCCATGTCTTGGGTGCTGCACTTAAGCCCAGGTCTTTTCCTGAGCTCCCCTGGGGGTGTGCTGTACCTGGCCGCGTATATTGCTGACCCTGACACTGCCTCGCTGACTTGGCTTCCCAGCTTGACCTGAGACACGCCTCATCACTGCAAATCTGTCTGGTGACCACTGGACTGTTGGATGAACCAGGTTTATATCATGGGACCTGCTCTGCTCTTCTTGCTCTGTGGCTGTGTGGTCCCTGCCCCCCCTTCTTGCTGTCATCCTTGACTCCTATTTCCCCTTACCCTGCTGAGTAGCCCTTTCTCGCTACAACTTTCAAACTAGTCTCCTAGACTAAATGTTATTCAAATCCTTGTTTAACATTTTGGAATGTCACTGTTATCAACAATAACATTCTCTATTACATTACTGTTTATTAAGTTACCTGTTATCCATAATAATGCTCTCTATTAAGTTACTGACTGAAAACAAACAATGAACAAGATAGGTAATACAAAGCTTTTAGGAAAATGATAGAATTTTTTGGACATTATAAGAGAGTCTAGAACAACTGCATCTTTTTCCTGCGCTTTTTTTAATTAGGTTAGTATGAGCTTCAAAAATAGCATACGCTATTCAGTTTTTATAATTGCTACCTAATGAAGACCAAATTCAAGCTGCATCACATCAGAATCAACATTATGCCTGCAGCAGCAAAGAGCTAATATATTATTACCCTTCTTCGGGTCAATAACAAAGTTTCCTTTTTGATTCCCAGACTGAATATCATATGTCACACCATCTCCATCAGGGTCAACAGCATTAACTGTAGCAATCAGTGTGTTTGGGCCTGCATCTTCAGAAACAAAACTCCTGTAGCTGTTAAAAGAAATTATGACAACACATTTATGAATTTAGACAGGAAATAATATATACAGAACTATGCTTTACAATGCCTACTGACTACCTGTACAAAGGGTATTGCAGAGATTTGTAATTTATTAATACAATTACACCGATAAGATGTTTCTTTGTTAACAAGTGAAATGATAATATTGATGATCTATCCAACCATTCAGGTCTTTCTGCTGTTACCTCCCATAAGATTTCCATTGTAAACTTTCAGCAGTACTAAAGCTTTGAAGCTTAGCTTCCCAACAAGACTTGGGCTAAATGCAGAACTCACTTTTTTTTTTTAATTTAAAAAAATGAGTTGCATGCTTCACAGAATCAAAGCAAATATTTGCTAAGTTAAAGCATTGCTTGTTTATAGCACACTTTCTGACACAAGATCTCAAAATGCTTTCAGTATAGTCTTTGCACAGCATGACTAAGATGAGAATCAGATCTGGAGGATATGCGCATAATGTCAGTTTTACAAAAATCTCTTCTCAAGTCCAGACACATCACTGACATTGTAAGCTCTTAAGAGGCATTATCAGCCTAAGCTTAAAGCTCTCTGGAGTAGAAAAGCCCCCTGCTTTAGCAAAGTCCCAAATATTTATTATTTTATCTGACTGGATTGAGCATAGGCCAGACTAAGCATACTACAGACCTGTCCATAGTAGATATTCCAAAGCATAAGAATGAACTACAGCTGGCTGTATCCAACAATTTAGATAAAATACATATGTACCACTGGGTTCAGAGTGCTTATGGACCCACTCTCCATATGCTGAGAATAGGAAAAAATCCAAAGAAAAAGAAAATGCATGCACAGAAAACCTCTCTCTTAGCTTTTGTTGTCTAGAAATGTGTGTTTTCATCAAAACCTTCATAGAAACAGCTTTTTTCCTTCCCCCAATTTAGTATACAATGAAGTAAGAGAAGTAAATTATTCTGGTTTAGCTCAGTCACAACCCTCAGGACACTGTCTTAACTCTGTATCTGGAAAGCAAATGAACAATAATTTTGATAATCTTGAACATGAAATAAAGGGGCAGAAGAGTTCAAGCAATCAGAAGACATCTCTTAAAAAGGAGAAAGTAAAAACTGACAAAATGAAAGAGTGATAGCCTTAAGCATTTCGTAACTGAGATAAAGAATAACCGTGATGAAAGAAAGCTCGTGGCAAGGAATTATAAGTTTTTACTGGACTGTAAATCTATTTAAACAAAGGGCTAGAAGGACAACATCATCATCCTGATTTGTATTAGCCTGCCACAGAGCATAACATTAATTGCCAACTAGTCTCTCAACAGGACCTAATTTACGGGTGTTCACAGAATACTTCAATTAAGTTCTGTCTGAAAGTCACCTTTGGGTTCAAGATTTTTTTCATAACAGGAAAGATAAAGCAAAATCAAAGCCTGGTTAACCTCGTTAAACAAAAACTTGAGATAATTTGAATTCCAGGAGCTGAATTCAATTTCAATGCCAATCTACACATATATACAATAGCAGTTTCCCTGCTATTGCATAGGGACAGAAAAGCTTCTTGTGAATGTTTGGTAATTTAAAATAATGTTCATTTCAATCATATTCTTCAGTAAACTTTAATTATAAGAGCTGGCAGGGGTTTTTTTTAAACTTCCAATTTTGAGAGATGTTTACATCATCTTTAATACTATGACTCATTTCTGATTAAAAAATTGGAACAGATTATGAACAAGACTAACAGCTACCGATAAATATTCGGTGACCCTGAATATTAAAACAAATAAATAAATAAACAATAGGCATCATCTGAAAAGTGAGAAACTTAATCTGGTTTAGTATTTGAAAATGCATAGAGATCCAATAAGAATTTACAAAAGATCAACTTTTCCAAGCCATATCTCCTAAGCAATGTTTAGGAAAGAAAGGAAGGCACAAGATTTTGAAGCCAGAGGTTACCTTTACATAAAATAAGGACCGTCAGAAAGCTTTGATGTTTTGTTCAGCTAAACCACAAGCTTAATCACTGAAATCGCTGCCTGGGTTTTGTTCTGAGCAACTTCTACTTTTAAGAGTAGAAAGCTGATGCAGAAGCTGACTGGGAATTCCATTACTAAGCCTCTAACGTGAATGCAAGTTTATATACTTTTGACATTGCTTCAGAGCCTCAACTGTGGAAGAAAAATGCTTACTGATGCTTTAGAAGAAAAAAAAAGAAAAAAAAAGTACAGTTTGTACGGCATGGGACTAAGTGAAATTAAATGAATTCCACTGATCGACATTTATCTTGTGGTTTTTATAATTCAGTGATCATATAGGATTCTGTCATCTAAGCATTTTTCTTTAACAATTATAAACGGGGGATGCAGACTGTTGACTCTGTCTAAACTTAAATTGCCTAATTAAAAGGCAAAATTCCACTACGTACTCTGGATGAGGGCTGAGGACAACACTGAGTTGCCTGCTTTTTCTGCTTGATTTCCCTTTGGTAGTGGAGGGGTCCTCTTGAAATGTATAATCTGAAATTACTGCACCACCTCTTTCAGTACATATTGGAAAAAACATAAGTGCAAGATCTGTCAAAAGAAACTGTCTATATACAACCTCTATCTAGCTAGATACACAGATACACAAGTCCTACTACACATTGAAAGTATGCCTAAACCTTAAAATTAAGAACCAAACTTAAACCTGCCTTTTTTTTTTTTTTAAACTGCTAGTAAGAGAGTCTCAGAGTCAAAGGATCATCCTGCATTTGTCAGTCCAACTCTCAGATTTGACTGAACCAAAGCCAGTCACCATCCTGTAATGATCAGCCTTTCAACCAAAATATAAAAAGCAACAGTAAAAGACAAAGATAACAGAGTTTTAAGAATATGTGTTTACATTGTCTGGGAAAACTCAGGCGCTTCATCATTCACATTTGAAACATGGATCCTAACAGTTGCTGTCCCAGTCTTCGGCTCTTCCCCGTTATCTACAGCCATAATTATGAACTCATAAAGATGGTTAGGTCGCTCATAATCCAACCGTGTTGCTGGAAAAATAGTACCATGAGAAGAAATACTGAAGTCTTGACTCAAAGCATAATATAGTAATTCAGCATTCTCTTTTGAATCGCAGTCAGTGGCTGTCACTATTAAAAGAGAAGAGAAAGACATTGTGCAGATCAAAGTTTGTGAATTGGTATGTTAAGTACTTTAACAAAAGAATTAGTATGTAGTATAAAACCGTAACAGCATTTGCTTTGGCATGTGGTGCTTGACACAATTTATAGAACTCTGCTATCCCCTGTTCTTTTTCTTGAACTAACCCTTACTTGAAAATAAGTTGATTTTTTAAAAAAAAAAAGTTAAGTCCCTGGTTGAATTCAGCCAGTAGATCTTGCCTTTGTCTGCTGGATTTAAAGACCCTGTACTACCAAGAACATATTCCCACACAGAGACATGTATTCTCATGTCCACCTGATCTATCCTGCTGACTTAAGATCACTCGGACAGATCACACCTCATGTGATTAAAGCTTAAATATTTACATACATTATTCAACTGATGCAAGTTATGTGTTTGTCAGATCCTACCCACAACCTACAAAACCCTATGCTAAAAGTGCAGTTACCAGAATAGTAACTGACAGACTACCATTAGTACAGGATAAATCACTAAGTAGAACAGTAGGAGGTTATAAAATCCTATTTACTAGGGAACAGCAATTTTCCTGTAGTTTAATTTCCTTTTTCTCCTCAAGATTTAGAAAAAGCTTACGTAAGGGTTAAAGACTAATATAAGGCCCTTCTACAACTGCTTAGTTGACATAAATTTGTTTTATTGCCAGGACCTGCTCATTTCTTTATAAACATTTTCAATATAAGATTTTTGCAGTTTACAAAATCAAAATTTACATAATTTACAGAGCAGCATCATTTAAAGCTTAAGTTATTGGTTACATTGGGAAGAAGCAAAGTCTTTTTCGCAAGCATCTAAACAAAGCCTCACATAAAACAGTCAAAGGCATACAAGAGGCTTTTAACGCAAAAGAGCAGTATTCTCTACAGCAAGCCCACACAGGACTCTTAAAGACAGGCAGAGAAGGTGAGCTGATGTGTCCATAATTTCTGATCCAACATCACTCTGTTCCTTCAAAAAAAGAAATGTTGCAAGATTGCTACTATAAGCCTGCTGCTATAATACCAACCACAACTGAGGTCATGATACTTCAAAATCCTACAAAGAAGATTTGTTTCCTTTGTCTCCCATCCCCCAAAATTGTTTGGGCTGTGGCAGTAGTAAATAATTATGACCCAATTCTACAAGGTGCCATTTGCCTTCAGAGAGGTGCAACTAGCCATGTTGGGGCGGGTAATTTTGCCTTCTGAACGGAATTCTAATTAGTGGGAGGAAAAAAAAAATACTTATACTGAATGTAACAAATCATTTTAGAAGTACTAACCTTGTAGAAGCAGAGTTGTCATAGTAACTGTTTCAGGAACACCAACTTTGCTGTAAATCGACTGATGAAATTCAGGGGCACAATCATTCACATCTGTGATTACAACCCAAACCTTAATGGAGAAGAGGGGAATGTTAAACAGCAAAGTGAATCAAGGCAACAACTTCATTGCTCTAGAAATATTGGATGGAAGCATTTCCCAAAAACATCCTTGAGGTCTTCAGAAGCTATAGCACATAGGATAAGCCATTTTTCTTGGATTGCTCTTTTCCTGCTGCGAACCATTGAAATATTAGATTCCAAAATACTAGGAATTGCCAAGTCCCAGTCCCTTGCAGCAACATTTTCCACTCACACTTCATCTCCATTGATTATTCCCTATTAATAATTTACAGGAAAATGGACTGTCTGCTTTCCAAGCATCCTTTTTCCATTATCTTATCGTCCAACACTTCTGTGATTTGTAACACTAAAAATTCTACTACCAAGCATGTTATATTTTAGCAGTATAACTCTCGAAGTTCTGAATTCAATTACAGCAGCGTAAATCAGACGTAAATGGAACTGATTATGTAAAACAAGTAAGAAATACAATTCTGCTTCTAGCATGTTTAAAAATGTTTTCTTATTCCTATGTCAAATATCAGTCCACAGTTGCATTGTTTACAATCCAAACAGTAAAGAGTGTGTTAAATTAGCCTTTATGGTGGTTCATACTGCTACAGTTCAGACTGTCTGAAGTTCGTTGAGGTATTCTGCATCACAGTGCAACTGGTAGACACATACTCCACCTACCCTTACATAGGTTTGTATAAACTGGGAGTTGCTCTCTTTTAACTATTGAGGTTGCATCAGTGTAAAGCAGGTACAAGTTAAACTACATTGAGGCTAAATGTATTTGTAAAATCTTCTCATAATCCTCTTCCAAGTCATATTCTACCACTCTTCATCTTGCAGTACATAAAAGGGTCAATAGCAATTATCAGTCTCTGGTGTGCTACAGCCACTGTCACATTGACATACTGTTTTCACTGTCTCTCTGTGTCCTCACACTTGTTCCTAATAATTCTGCCTCCTGTTCCCTCTATAGTGTACATCTTATTTCCTGCAACAGGAAAAACCTGTTATATTGCATGTATTCCCTAGCTCAGTGAATCCTTGAATTCAAACAACTATATTTAGAAATATTTTTGCTGTCGAAAAGCTTTCTAAAACACCATGAACCATCATCTTTTAATATCTGTGAGTTTTTATTATTTTCTCTCTTTACAAGTTCACTTCGTGTTCTTGATATGAAACAAATCATTTTCTGTTCTGCCTTTTTTTAAATTGGAATAATCTCAAATATACATCATACTTTATGAAGGTTTAGAGTAAGACAAAACCTCATGTCTGGCTCGGCCGCATCCATTTCCGTATCTTCCCAGATAAGGCCTAGGACCTATGATGGGATGGCATATTGATCCATCAGAAATCGCCTTTTCAGCATCTGCAAGAGTGAACTCTAAAAGTACCTAAACCAGCCCTCAACATCTACCCATAGACAAAAAGACCTTTAAAATGGACAGTAGAAAAGACAGCATGAGCTGGGGAAATGAGATTGCCTAGTGATTCTGTACAGAAATCTGGAAAGGCTGAAAGAAAATGGAAATACATACAGACTGCCAGAAATGAACACCTACCTCAGCTGCACTACTGAACTGTTCCTCATTTTCCTCTGCTCTGACCAAAAGAAGATACTGGTGTTGGTCACTCTCATAATCCACACTCCGAGTTAAACTGATATCTCCTGTTGCCCGATCAATACTGAATAGACCACTAGGATTAGTAAGTAAACTGTAGCTCAGGGATTTCTTTTGATATGATACAGCAGTGATTGTAAGAAAGCTGCATTTAAAAAAAAAAAAAAAAAAAGGAATCTTAAGCACTTAATACAACATACTGAAAAATATGAAAAAATGATACTTATCAGAAATGATGGTGCAATCCTGTAGGTCTGATCAGAGCAATACTCACTGAAGTTAGTGATAGCTGTACCTAAACACCAAATTCAAATATTTTGTTATACAGTAGTTTTATCATCTTGAGGTTAAACAGATAAAGATAGGATTCTTGAAAGCAGAGCACAGTAAGGATTAGAAACACAGGAACAGAGGATTTCATTTTTGCTGCAACTGAATTTGCCTAGCTAACTTTCTTCTACAGTAGTGATGGTTTTCAGGCAGGAAACTAAAAGATAAAGCAAGATGCAAAAGAGTCATTTTAATAACAGCATGGTAGCTTGCTGCTGCAGTCATACCATCCTAAAGTTTCAACAGGTAACTGCAAAAGGATAAAAGCCAGTCACTAACAGCGTGCATGCTACAGGTTATACAGGACATATGTTTTTAGCTCTTGTCTGGCACTATCTTCTTTCTACTGAAGTCCAATGTGTTTAAAGTCTTCAAGTGGGAAAAACACTTGCAGTATGAAGTAAAAGAAGAAATTAAAAAATAAATATTTTTAAAGGGTTTAAAACAGAATACCAATTCCTCAAGTGTTTGTTGCCTTATCATTCAGGTTTCTTAGGAAAAAGAATTCCATCTCCCAGTAGAACCCACCAACATGTGACAACTACAATCAAAAAGACAAAATTCAGTTTGTCTGAACATCTTTTTCCCTGTTGTATTTCCATGCTGCTGTCTTCTCACTTCCTTCAGGTGCACTACTGAAACAATGGAAAAGGTTGCTGTAGGTCATTATCTCACTTCAGTCTTTTTCTGTATTTTCCTGTGATGTGGTCTCACAGTGTCAGCCAGCACACGACCATGTTCCTGCCAACAGGAATTATTTTGCCCTCCTTCTAAACTCCCTACCTTGGCTGCATGTTCATGCCACCTCTCCTCTCCTGTCAGCACTAAAAATCACAGGGCCATGCTGCGAGCACATTTAACAACCCAGCTGAAAGCTTTTTTTTCTTTTTTTGGCTTTGTCTTTAATCTGATCAGCCTGCCCATGCAGCTAGCATATTAGCACTAGTGGCAGACCAAAGGAAGAGAAAGATTTGGTAATGCTCCTCTGCTCAGCAGCAGTCTTAAATCAGCCTACAATTGTGAAATCCTAAACCCAGAAATCCTGTGCATGACAGCAACTCTGTTTTCCTGTGTACTTGTGTAATTGGTCCAATTTAAATATCAGAACTTTAGGATTTTACACAGATTTTCATTACTATTTCTGGTCAACATGCAACAGGAAACCACTTTCACTGGGCACTGTGTATATTCAAACCTCTTCTGACGTAATAATAACTGCATTAAATACTTTATTCCTTTTGGATATTACCAAGTAATTTGACAAACTAATCTACTAACATCTTAGGTGTGCAAACCTGTTCTTAAACAGTAACAAAAAAGTCATAAAGAATTTCATTATTTTTAATCCTAAACATTATTGAACCCAGGATGGCAGGTACCTGTTAGGTATTGTAGCATTTCACAGTTCTTCCATTTCTTTTATGCCTGTGCTATTTAAGTTTATTGCAGCTTTAAAGAAACACCTTGTTATCTACTATTAACAGTTGCTAATTTTTTTTTTATCTTAACACACCTTGGTTATTTAGACACTGTAAAACTGAATGTTGTAGATTGAACAGTAAAATACAATACTAAAGATAATATAATAACAGTTGAATGGCCACACAAGGAAGACGTTTACTGAACAAAAGTATTCTCAATTCAACCGGAAGAGGAAATGTTTGCCCTAAAAACAAAACAGTTTGGGACAAACGGAACTGAGTATTCAGGTGGACCTATGTTACTAACATTTTCTGTGATATTTAGATCCACATGGTTAGACAAAGGATGGAAAAATAAAACAACGAGTTTTGTGGCATCTTCATTTTTGCTCAGTTTGTCACCCTGACTGATGAAGATGCAAAGAGTCTTTTGTTTTTTCTGGTTTTCACTTGATGGAGAAAGCGCTTCTCCAAATTTGACACATAAAATTAATATATTCTTTCGCACCAGGTTATCTTTCTTCATGATGTAACAGTTCTAATTTGTATTCTGCATTTTATTTGAAAATTAAGACACAATCAACATCTGCTAATACTTTCCATATCATTTAAAAAAGAAAGAAACCATAATTATTCAATACCACTTTTCTGTATAAAAGGGTGACTAAAAATACATCAATCAAACTGTATCTTGATCAGTTCTATTAAGATATCTGAATTGCTACTCACAGTATCCATTTATGATGCACAAACAATACTGAAGCTTTGGGGAGATCAAACAGAAGTTAAACTAGGAACACAATCTCACTGCATTATTTTTAACTGTTACTTACGATTTTCCTTGCGGCGTACTTTCAGGAACATAAACAAAGTATGATACGTTGGTGAACTGTGGTGGTCGAAATCCAGCAATTACAGAAACAGAGGCTGGAGACCCTCTGCTTCCAATTTTATCTGCTGCTAGTACAGTCAGTAAATACTCCTTGTCCCTCACCAATGGCAAACCTGTCGTTTTAACCCAGCCAGTGTCCTTCTCAACTTCAAATCTGTCTTCACCACCTAAAAAGAACAGATCCACAAATTGTTGTCAGCAAGAACATTTTTACTTTATTAAAATTAAGAGAAGAATACGGTATCAATTGGTTTTGGCTTAGAATCAGCATGCACACAAAAATTCAAAAGTTTGTTTAGAACTTAGAAATCAGTAATTACATTCATGATTACATTTCTAAGTTGCATTTTACTTCTCTGGACAATTATCACTCTTCTTTATCTTCCAATACTTTGCTTTTGTTTGACCCTAAATACCCCTTACCAGAAAATACCCTGCTAGAGTCCTGGCTAAGAGGAACAAATTCACCTTTGGAGTGGTATTGCTACTCTGCTTCTGCTTAGACAGTTTTTAACTATTACTGAAGTTTCTTTCAAGAGCCCCACAAAGAAAATTATTAATGAGTCTGTACTAGCTTTGCAAAGCTAAGGCACCATCCAGAGCCTTAAAAATTTGTTAGAAATGAACCAGAAGCACAACTCCCACAAAGGAGAAGAAACATTAATCTCTCCGCCCAACAAACTGTGCTCCACATACTGCTCTATCTCATAAACAGGCAGACGCGCAGAGGGGTGCTGACTACTGCTGCCATTGCCACCCCCTTGCCAAAGCCCTGAGGAGAACTGACTCCTCCAGCCCCCATCAGCCCTTGGGGGGCAACCCGGACAGGAACCCAACTTTGCAGGGAGAACACACCTCAAATCTGGCAAATCTTTCTGCACCCTCAATAAAAGTTGATTTTTCTCATACACAGAGCTGAAGGCTTATGAACCTTTTGCAGGAGGAAGAGAAGATCTTTCACTAACAAAACTGAGGATACAAGACAAAAAAGTCACAATAGTGAAGACTAATACATAAGGAATGAGAGGGTTACCTTCCAAGAGAAAATATTCTACAGCTCCATGGATCCCTTCATCTGCATCCACAGCAAGCAGCTTGTATACTTCAGTACCTCCCACAGCTTCAGGGGAAACCACAGCCAAGAACGGGAAGGGCTCCATGGCCCATTCAGGTACGTTGTCATTCACGTCTGTGACAGTAAGTGATAAGTGCACCAAGTACCAATCCTTTCCTAATGGTCACAGAAAAATGAAGAAATACTTAGACAGCTAATTAATGGCACTCGGAGTAACAGAAACATGTATCAATTCCTGAGTGTGTATTGTCTGCAATATTGTTGGCATGTAATTCAGAAAAACTTGGGTTTTAAGGCTCTTCTGCAATTAACAGCATCCAGACACAATGTGGGGAAAAAATAACCAGCACAAGGTCTGCTGAACTGCAAAATCGGGGCCACCCATATTACATTCTACTAATATCTCTTTTTAGGAAAGATCACACATTCTTAAATTTTCAAAATTTAAATACACATTTTCTGGAAGGTTTTTTTGCTGAAGAAAAAAAAAAGTATTAAGAAATATTTTGTTTATGCAATGATTACAGCAACTCTGAATTTTGAAAATTAAATATTTGTTGCCAAAAAATTCTAACCAATCTACCCTAACTTGTGATTTTCCTGGTTAGAAAGTTCACTGAAATCCTAATATGTTTTCACTTCTATTAAAGATTAAATGTTGCTAAAAACCAAACAAACAAAACCCCAAAAACAAACCACCACAGAATGGAACTATTCAATTCTCCAAAAATTGACAACAGAAGATCCTTAAAAATTGAGGAAAAAGTATTTATTATACCTCTGCCATCATGAAATCAACCAGTGAAGACAGTAGAGCTCCTAAAGAAGTAATAAATACCAGGCAGGTACTGCTGAGAAGGTGGCAGAAAGGAAAAATGTCAGACTCAAGAAACTGTTCTGAATGGAGTTAAGTATTCTCGTTAAAGTAGGA